CCGGCTTTTTTCTTTTTGCTTATGTGGTGCTGAGGAATCGAACCCAGGGCCTCAGGCATGCAAGGCAAGCGCTCTACCACTGAGCCAACTTCCCAGCCCTCTTTTTTTTTTTTAATAACAAGATCTTGAGGTTTTTGCCTGGGCTAGCCCGGATTGTGATCCTCCTGATGTCAGCCTCCTGCGCAGCTGGGGTGGCAGGTGGATCCCTTCTGCCCAGCTGTTAGTTGAGATGAATTCTTGTGAACTCTTTGTCTGAGCCCACCTCATCATGGATCCTCCTGATTTTTGTCCCCCAAGGAGCTGAGATTACAGGAGTCATTCATTGCGCCCAATACTCACCATTTTTGGTGCCATTTTTTTTGTTTTGTTTGTTTTTTGGGTCCGGTTGTGGAGCCTGAACTCTGGGCCTGGGCGCTGTCCCTCAGCTCTTCAGCTCAAGGCTAGCGCTCTACCATTTGAGCCACAGCGCCACTTCCGGCTTTTTTCTTTTTGCTTATGTGGTGCTGAGGAATCGAACCCAGGGCCTCAGTCATGCAAGGCAAACGCTCTACCACTGAGCCACCTTCCCAGCCTTTTGGTGCCATTTTGGACGTGACCTCAGGGCCTCCCACTCTCAACTGGCTTTTTTGCTCAAGGCTGGTGCTCTACCCCTTGAGCTATCGCTCCCTCACTGACTTGTTCTGACTGGTGGGCCTGGGCCTCTCTGGCAGCCACAGGGCCCCTCCGCCATGTTTGGGCCCCAGGTAGTCCTCAGATCCCAGCTAGCCCAGCCAAGGGCCCAGCCCCATCCCATGGCGGCCGGCTCTGCCTCTGCCACCCTGAGTGCTTCAGGATGGGGGAAGGAGGATCTGGCCCCTGGCCCCCCATTGGATCTGGTGTCCTGAGGTCCTGGGAAAGGATTGGCTAGCCTCTACGGCCCATGCAGGCAAACCTAGCAGGGGTGGGGTGGGGGTCTCTGAGGTCCAGCCATGTTTCTGACCCTGGTGAGGTAGGGGTTATGCATGGGGTGTCCGCCCTGTGAGGAGAGCTACACCCACTCAGCCACCCCAGCTTAAGCCAGTAATCCTAGCTGCTCAGGAGGCTGAGTTCTGAGGATCACTGTTTGAAGCCAGCCCGGGCAGAAAAGAATCTGTGAGACTATTGTCTCCAATAACTACTCAAAAAAGCCGGAAGTGGTATTATGGCTCAAGTGGTAGAGCGCAAGCCTTAAGCACAGAGGCCCAGGGACAGAGCCTAGGTCCTGAGTTCAAGCCTTAGGACTGGGGGGAAAAAAAAGAAAGAAAGAAATTCGCTTGAGAAACCTTTTTGTGGGGGGGAGAGGGGAATCGTGGGGCTTGATTCTGGGCCTGGGCGCTGTCCCTCAGCTCTTCAGCTCAAGGCAGGCGCCCTACCACTTGAGCCACAGTGCCACTTCTGGTTTTCTAGTGGTTTATTGGAGCTAAGAGTTACATGGACTTTGCTGCCTGGGCTGGCTTTGAACCATGATGCTCAGATGTCAGCCTCCTGAGTAGCTAGAATTACAGGCATGAGCCACCTGCACCTGGCTTTGAGAAACTTTTAACACCAACTCAATATACATTCTGGCAAAATGTTGCCTAGCTGGTTGATACAATCAGATTCATCTCTTTTCTTCTTCTTTTTTTTTTTTCCTTGTGCTGGTCCTGGAGCTTGAACTCGGGGCCTGGGCATTGTTCCTTAGTATCTTTTTTGCACAATGCTGGTGCTCTACCACTTGAGCCACAAAAGCTCTACTTCTGGTTTTTTGGTGGTTAATTGGAGATGAGAATCTCACAGACTTTCCTGCCCAGGCTGGCTTTGAACCTCCAGTCTCAGATCTCAGCTTCCTAAGTAGCTGGGATTACAAGCATGAGCCACTGGTGTCTGGCTTAAAATCTGTCTTTATCTACAAGCAGATGTGGGCCGGGCCCAAGGCCAAGGCTTCTGGGTGTTTCTCCTGGGTCCTGTGATCTCCGCAGGCCCTACAGGGGCAGCCCAGTTCTGCCAGCACCCAGCTTGTGGTCTGGGGGCAGCAGGAGCTGTTGGGCCCGGCCTGCTCCCCACTCCCCACCAGGGCCCCTCCCCTGGCCTGGCCCGCACCCATGCTGGGAAGGCCAGAGGAGCTGGCTCTGTGTCTGGGCTGGCTCAGTGGCAGAGGGGCACCAGTTGCCCCTGGGGCCCCACTAGGCCAGAACAAAGTCTGGAGAGGAGGAGGAATGGCTTCCGCACAAGCAGCAGGGTGGAGCCTGGAGGCCCAAGGGAGGCCCAGGGCGCTGCCCCTGCCAGGCTTGGCCAGCGCATGCTGAAGGCCGCTGGAACCATGGGCAGGCAGCAGTGGGTGGGGAAGGTGGGGCGTATAGACCGGGTATCTAAACCCAGAGGCCCCAATACCAGGCTGAGGGCTGGAGAGCTCATGTAAATCTAACATGGTGGTGCATACCTGTAATCCCAGTACCCTGGAGGCTGAGGCTGGAGGATGGCTGGTTAGAGGCCAGCTTGGACTCTATAGCATGACCCTGTCTTAAAAACAAAGAGGCCAGTGGGAGCTGTGGAGGATATGTGAGTGGGTGGCCGTGGGTGTTAGGCTGAGTCCTCCCCGGTCAGCTGCGGGGTGCCCAGGCTGAGGCGCTCACACAAACAAGGCCCTTAAGTGACCGGAAGGCAGGCCCTGGACATCCACCCACCCCAGGGGAGCCGCCACCCACCGCCTCACCTCCTCCCTCCCTCCAGGTGGCCATGGCCCTTCTGGGGAAGCGCTGTGACATTGCTGCCAACGGCTGCGGCGACCGCTGGAGCTCGGCCTTCACCCGCAAAGACGAGATCATCAGCAGCCTGGTGTCTGCCCTGGACTCCATGGTGCGTGTCGTGGCAGTGGGGAGGGACGGGGCAAGGGGGGGTGGGAGGCAGCCCTCCAGAGTCTGTAAGCTCAAGTCCATTAAATCTAGCTCTAGAGGCAGGCAGGATAGCATAGCACACACCTTTAATCCCAGCTGGCAAGGACAGAGCTAACTGTCAAAGAATAGAGGACCTTCTTTCTAGAAGGTTCCTGCTGTGGAGGTCTAGGCCTAGATGGTGGCTAGGCCAGTGCCTGCCTGTAGCCTGTGAGGTAGCACCCAGGGCAGGATCCCAGCCACGGAGGCCCACGTCCTCGGCCTTGGTGGCATGGCGGGGACAGGGGCTCCTGCTCACCCCACCCGCCCTCCCCAGTGCTCCGCGCTGTCCAAGCTCAACGCCGAGGTGGCCTGTGTGGCTGTGCGCGATGACAGTGCCTTCGTGGTGGGCACAGACAAGGGGAGAATGTTCCTGAACGCCAGGAAGGAGCTGCAGGCCGACTTCCTGAGGTTCTGCCGTGAGTGCTCAGGCTCCTGGGCCCCCTGGGATGGCGGGGAGGGGGGGGGAGGGTCGGGGCTGAGGGTGGCGGAGCTGTGCACTGTGGCTGGCCATGGTAGGGGGTGGGGCTAAGGGGGCGGAGCTGTGCACTGTGGCCGGCCATGGCTTGGGTGGTTCCGTCACAGCCTGGTGACCATCCTTGTACCCACTTCCCACATAAGCACCCCATGCTGCTTTTTCTGTGACTGTAGACCTTGTCAGACCAGGATTTGGTCCCACTGCTGCCATTAGCTCTGCCCAGCCCACAGGAGAAACTGAGGCCCAGTGGCTTTGGCCTCCCCCAGGGCTTGGCTGTGCTTTGAGAGTCATGAGCTTCTGCCACTGGAGAGGTGCTGAGTGGGCCCTTGTCAGCCCCTTGTCTGGGGGATCCCCAGAAACTGCAAGTGTGTGTATACTGGCACTCCTGAGCTCAGCCTCCTGAGTAGCTGGGATTACTGGTGTGAGCCACAGTGCCTGGCTTTCGGGTCCTTCTGTTTTGTTTTTTGTTGGTCCTGGGGCTTGAACTCTGGGTGTGGGCGCTGTCCCTGAGCTTTTCTGCTCAAGGCTAGTGCTCTACCACTTGAGCCACAGCACCACTTCCAGTTTTCTGGTGGTTCATTGGAGATACGAGCCTCTCAGGGACTTTTCTACCCAGGCTGACTTCGAACCACAATCTTCAGCCCTCAGCTAGGATTACAGGCGTGAGCCCCTGGCACCCAGCTAGGATCCTTCCTTAATCCATCCCTTCTTCTCAGACACCAGCGCCCAGTCTCCTCCCCCGGGGCCACAGTCACTCCTGGTCTTGGCACCCCAGCACTGGGCCTGGCCCAAGTGGGGCACCGCCCCTCCCACCTGGATCTCCCTGGGGCCTGGGTGGTGGCCATGGCCAGCTTGGGGCTCCCTGGCTCCCACTTCCAGGCTGGGCCCCGCTCCCCGCCTGGCCCCCGCAGCCGTTGGCCATGACTGCTATTTATAGCTGGGACTCGGCTGCGTTATTTCGGGCTGCACCGATCCCGCAGGAGCGCAGGCCCCGAGCAGGGGGGAGGGGGTGCCTGTCCCCTTTCTGATGCAGCTTCTAGCACGTTCCAGAAGGATCCATCCACCCACACTCCCAGTTCCCCCACCTGGTCCAGCCAGGATGCAGGGCACTGGGGCTCCCTGGCTGTGGCATTCCCAGAGTGGGGCTTGGGGGACCCGGGGCCCTGAGATGACGCCCCTTGCCGGGGCCCAGGGGGCCAGGCGGGCTCCCACACCCTGGTCTTTCCTGCCTGCCTGCCTCCATGCATCCATTCACTCGCTCACTCACTCATTCCTGCACACATGCCTGGGCCTCTGGGTCACAGCCCATCTGCCCCTCATCCCGCAGGGGGACCCCCGTGGAAGGATCCAGAAGCCGATCACCCTAAGAAGGCGGCGCGGGGTGAGGGCGGGGGCCGCGTGGTGCGGGGCTCACTGGAGGCCGGCGGGGATGTGTACCTGCTGCAGAAGATGGTGGAGGAGGTGTTTGACGTTCTTTATAGTAAGAGCCTTCCTGTAACCCTCAGGCCCCAGGGGTGGCCCCCCACTCCTGTGGCCTGCCCCCCCCAAGCCCAAGGGCCCCCCCATCTTTGTCCTGTCCCAGGCCTGGTTGTCACGGCCCTGACCCACGCCACTGTCCCCTTCATATTCTCTTCACCACCCCCTGCCCCACAGCCACCCCTGGCTCTGATCCTCACCTCCTGTCTGGCACAGCTGTGGTTTGGGGGTGCCTTTCCCTCCCTGCCTCCTCCACTCAACCCGGGGACATCCCCTCTGCCAGCGCCAGCAGCCCTCACTGGCCACCCCATGTCCTTCTGGCTGACCCCACCCTGCGGTTTAGGGCTGAGCAATGGTGGGTGTTTGTTGAATGACTGAGCGAAGGTGGTCAGGTGAGGCCCAGTCTGTCCGGTTGCAGAGTCTCGGGGCCCCGGGTGACCCCTCCCTCCCATGGACAGCCTTGGCTGTACCTTTCTGTTGCTGGGGGCCTTGGCTTCCGATGCACTGCCGCTCCTCTGCGTCTCAAGTGGGGGGACAGTCCCTGGGTGACCTGCCAGCCGCCGCTGCTGCCAGTGCCCTGTCCTACCCTGTCTCTGTTACCACCCTGGGGCTTGTGCTCTTTCTGTCTGTCCCTCTCTTGCTCTCCTTTTATGCAAACTCCATCTTCTCTCTCCCTCTCCATGTTTTCTTACTTTCCCGCCCCTTCTCTGGCCCCTTGGCCCAGGAGAGGAAAGCAGCGGGGCCCAGCCACCTCTGGTGGGAACCCAGACCGGGGGATGGGGGGGGGACACAGCAGGGCTTGGGGTGGGGGCTGTGCCACGCAGTCCCAAGGGGGTCACAGCTCTGCGACACGCCCGGCCCAGCCCAGCCCCCACCTGGCTGTCCCTGCTCAGCCCTTCTTGCCCTCTAACAGGCGAGGCGCTGGGCAGGGCCAGTGTGGTGCCCCTGCCCTATGAGAGACTGCTCAGGGAGCCAGGGCTGCTGGCCGTGCAGGGGCTGCCCGAGGGCCTGGCCTTCCGGAGGCCGGCGGAGTACGACCCCAAGGCCCTCATGGCCATCTTAGAACACAGCCACCGCATCCGCTTCAAGCTCAAGAGGTGAGTGAGAGCTGGGTGCAGTGATGCACACCTGTAATCCCAGCACGCCAGAAGCTGAGGCAGGATGTGGAGGAGCCACACTGGGCGGCGGAGCAGGCTGGGTGGACAGAGGTCCGATGGGGTTTCCAGGCTGTGCTGGGACAGGTCCAGGCTCACCTGGCTGGGAAGGAAGAGAAGGACAGAGGGCAGGTGACACCTTGGGGGCGTGGCTGGAGGCGGGGCAGGCCTTGTGCCTGGAGCTGTTCTGCAAGGGCTTGGACAGGAGGTGGGGGATGGGCATGGAGGCATGGAGGGGGACGGGGGGGGGGTGGATGTGGGAGGAAGATGGGCATGGGTAGGGGAGGGGGTGGTGAGCATGACTGTCCTGTCTCCCCCAGGCCTCTGGATGATGCAGGGCGGGACTCAAAGGCCCTGGTGGAGATCAATGGCCTCTCCCTGCTCCCCAAGGGGTCCCGGGACTGCAGCCTGCACGGCCCGGCCCCCAAGACCACCCCGCAGGACCCACTGCCCCCCAGCACCGCCTCCTCTGGTGCCAGCTTCCTCTACAGCAGTGCTCTGCCCAACCATGCCCTGCGTGACCTAAAACAGGAGGTGCCCAGCGGGCCGGTGCTGCCCGCGGACCTGGGCCTGGGCCGGCCGGGGCCTGAGCACAAGGCGCCTGCTGCCCATGACTTCGATTGCTATGGTAATGCTGCTGGGGCACCAGGCGGGACACTGCCCACCGGCTCCCAAGGAGCATTTCTGAGCCAGGGCTGGGCTGGGCACGTGGTGTCCTGAGACCCCGTTGGCCCTGGCCACCATTGAGCTGTGTCCACTCCTCCGGAGGAGTCTGGGAGAGGAACAAACACATGTGCTTAATGATCGCCTACCTGGCACCGCACCTGGATGCCAGGCTCTGAGGCTGCGGAGGGTGGGCTGCCCGTGCTGCTGCCTCTGTTTTGTGCTCTGAGCCTCAGTTTCCACATCAATCACATGCTTGAGTACATCTTATCCAAAATGCTTTGGGATGGGTGTGGTGGTGCAGGCCTTCAGTCCCAGCATGGGGAGGCTGAGGTAGGAAGATTGTGAGTTAGAGACGTCTCCAGTGGGGGGGTCAGGGCGGCCTGATGCTGTGCTCGCTCCCCTGATGCCACCTCTCTTACTGGCCTTTAGATGCTAGGAAGGTGCATGACTCGGGGCCTGGGTTCTGGGGTCTCCCTGGCAGTTACCCCAGAGCCAGAGCCTGTGTGCTGGGCTAGGATGTGGAGATCTCCTCTGGGACACAGCCTGAACCTGTCCCTTTCCTCTCGCCCCCGTCCAGGACAGAAGCCCCCGGGTCCCTCTGGGCCTCTGATCCAGAACGTTCATGCCTCTAAGCGCATTCTCTTCTCCATCGTCCATGACAAGTCAGGTAGACGGCCCTTTCCACTGAGCCCGGGCTGGGGAGGGGTGGGCGTGACTATGACATAGGGAAAGCTGTGGAAAAGGAGGAAAGAACAGCCCTGCTCCGGGGGCTCTGAGTAAAAACCAGGGTGTAATTGTTAGCTGCAGCTGTGTAACAAATTGGCCCCTAAATGTAACTTGAAGTAAATAGTCCTTACCTCATGGTCCCTGGGGATTTCCTGACCCACAGGAGCTGCTGGGCCAGGAGCCACATTCCCAACCCTCTTTCCTTTCATCGCTTTTCAGATAGGGTTCCCATTTATGTTTGAACTGTGATTTTCCATTACATTTCTTGGCTAGCGGAGATGATAGGGGGGTACCACCATGCTGTGCTTTTTGTTGTTGTTGTTGTTGTTGTCAGTCATGGGGCTTGAACTCAGGGCCTGGGTGCTGTTCCTGAACTCTTTTTTTGGGGGGGGGTTCCGGTCGTGGGGCCTGAACTCTGGGTCTGGGCGCTATCTCTCAGCTCTTCAGCTCAAGGCTAGCGCTCTACCACTTGAGCCACAGCGCCACTTCCAGCTTTTTTTTTCTGCTTATGTAGTGCTGAGGAATCGAACCCAGGGCCTTAAGCATGCAAGTCGAGCGCTCTACCACTGAGCCACCTTCCCAGCCCTGTTCCTGAACTCTTTTGCTCAAGGCTAGTGCTTTACCACTTTGAGCCACAATTTCACTTCTTGTTTTTAGATGGGCTAATTGGAGATAAGAGTCTCATGGGGACTTTCCTGCCCAGCTTGAGTTGGCTTTGAGCCACAATGTTCAGATCTCAGATCTCAGCATAAGCCACCAGCACCCAGCATTATTCTGAGCAGTTTTTGTTGAACAGGGGTTTGGGGACCTTTCTGCTTGGGCTGGATTCTAACCACGATCCTCCTGATCTCAGCCTCCTGAGTAGCTGGGATTGCTGGTGTGAGCACCACACCTGACTGGAAGGCTTCTATTAATATGAAATGGAGGCAGGCGCAGGGGTGTTGGGGTAGAGACTGGAGCCAGGGTCTTCCACACAACACCAGCACAGCCCCACTGTGCCAGGCCTGCCCGGCCCAGGCCCGGGCAACAGGGTTCCAGGGCAGCTCAGCAGCAGGACCGGCCTTCACTGCCCCTCCTTTGTTCTGATAGAGAAATGGGACGCCTTCCTGAAGGACACAGAGGACATCAACACACTGAGGGAGTGCGTGCAGATCCTCTTCAACAGCAGATACGGTGAGCATGAGCCTGCCGCCCGTGTCCCCTGCCGCCCGTGTCCCCGCACCGTGCGGGGCTCTCTCCCAGGCATGGGAGTGGGTGGCACTGTTTCCCTTGCAGACTGAGGGGCGAGGAGGGGGAGGAGGCGTGACTTCAGATGCCGAGTCCCCAGGGAAGTGGCAGGTTGGGGACAGATGGGCTCTGGGGGTCTCCAGATGCCTAGCCTCGCAGCCCATGCCTTTTACTGCTCTGCTCCCTCTCAGCGCTGAGCCCCAAGTCAGGGCGCTGCCTCCTCCACAGCCCTGGCCACCTGCGTGCCACCCCTTTTGTGTCACCAGAGGTGACAGCGTGCTCTGTGACCAGCCAGGCCCTGCTGGCTCACACCTGTAATCCCAGCTGCTCAGGAGGCTGAGATCTGAGGATCACAGTTCAAACCCAGCCTGGGCAGGAAAGCCCGTGAGACTCGTGTCAATTTAACCACCCCAAACTGGAAGTGGCGCTGTGGCTCAAAGTGGTAGAGCGCTAGCCTTGAGTGAAAGAGCTCAGGGACAGCGCCCAGGCCCTGAGTTCAAGCCCCAGGACTGGCACACACACGCAAAAGCAACTGGGGGGGGATGGGGGGAGTTGGGGGGGGAGTCCCAGCCGTGTGGGAGGCACAGGGCATCATCATTCCTGAGGGAGACAAGTGGAGGCCTGCGCCCTGCATGGCGTGGATCTCCCCCAGTGGGGAGCCCAGGCAGGGTCGTCTCTCTTCACCCAAGCTCCCAGCTGCGCTGCTAAATAAAACCAGGACAGCGGGGTTCGGGACCAGCGCTGAGCTCCCGCACCACGGGGGCTGCAGAGGCAGGAGGGAGGGGAGGAGGGCTGACGGCTGGTGAGATTTGGGGGGGGTTAATTTGACAATTAGCTAAGTGTGACTCCATTGTGAGATCTCATCGTCGCAGCCACCAACGCAGGCCCCAGCCACAGCTGAGCGAGGCGGCAGCCCCGGTGGCCGGCGGGGTGCGGCTGGGCCCCCAGGGTGGGGGTGTGTCCCAGGGGCAGGAGAGCCAGGATGTTGACGCCAGCTTGGGCTATACCGTGAGACCCTATCGAAAACACAAAAACAAAGGGAGGAAAACAGCAAAAGCATTTGGTGAGCCAGTGGAGCTGGGGGGTGGGGTCCCTCACGGACAGTGCCTTGGCAGGGCAGGAGCTGTCCATGCTCGCTGCCGGGCTTTGCCCAGCGTCCCGTGTGTGATGCTGATGGATGACCAGAGGAGAGACACCCAGAAGAGTGTCTACATCTGGGTGGCCACTGTCCCCCACCAGGAGCCGACCTGGAGGGCTGGGGGGGCAGAGATGATTGTTTGGAGCCAGACACATGATGAAAAGATAGACAGATAGATAGATAGATAGATAGATAGATAGATAGATAGATAGATAGATAGATAGATAGATAGATAGATAGAAAGGCACGTATCTACGTAATAAGTGCGAAGGTAACAGGTGCGTGTATGCAGGCATGCACAGTTGCACAGGTGGCTGGGAAGGAGGTGGTGGATAGATGCACAGATGTGTGGTTAGATAAGCTAGATCCCGATGATGTTAGGGTAGGCCCCAGCTGAACGGGCGGTGACCACGGCGGAATGCTGGGCCTCCTGTGGCCTCCGTCTCCAGCCTCAGCCTGGATCTTGCCCTTACAGCGGAAGCCCTGGGCCTGGACCACATGGTCCCCGTCCCCTACCGGAAGATCGCCTGTGACCCCGAGGCCGTGGAGATCGTGGGCATCCCGGACAAGATCCCTTTCAAGCGGCCCTGCACGTATGGGGTCCCCAAGCTGAAGCGGATCCTGGAAGAGAGACACAGCATCCACTTCATCATTAAGAGGTGCGGGCTGGGCTGGGCTGAGCTGGGCCAGAGTGGGTGTTGAGCCTGGGCAAGGCCACGGGCTTCATGCCTAGCACACAGAAGGTAAAGAAGAGGTGTGGTGACACACGAGGCTGGCCTCGTGCTCTGGGATCAGGGTAGGCTTAAGGCCTTGGAAGTCCAGACCTCCCACAAACAAGACCTGGGGTTTGGGGCTGACCTGGCCGTAATGGGGAGCCACAGATCCCTAACATGGCCCGCTGGTCCCCCCAGTCCTCTACTTCCCTGTGGGCTGCCTGGTGTCCCTGGCCAGCCGTGGGCAGGCAGGTGGTCAAGAGACAGAAGCCCAGTCCCAGAACCCCTGCACTGTCTGGGCACTGGGGTGGAGGTCAGCACAGGCAGGGCGCCCCCTGGAGGAGGGAGCCAGTACTTCAGGGCTTTTTCCCCTCAAAGCTTAAACACTTGAACCACAACTCAACCTCTTTTTTTTTTTTTTTGGTGGTTTATTAGTGATAAGAGTCTCATGGACATTCCTTTCAGGGCTGGCTTTGAACCGTGTTCCTCGGATCTCAGCCTCCTGAGTAGCTAGAATTACGGGTGTGAACCACTCGAGCCCAGCCTCCAGGCTGTTTTGATGGCTGCGTCACTGTAACTCTGTCCCAGATCGGATATAGGGTCCCCACCCTGCTGTGTCCCTTCCACCCTGTCCACCAGTGACCTGACCATTCCTGTCACCTGAGGGTGCCCCCAGCATAGCTGGCTCTGTGTCTCAGCCTCTCCCTCCTTTGTGAAGTTTCTGGGCTCCGTTCCCCAAGAGAGAGGTGGGGCACCCTCAGTGTGGGCCCCTGGCTTCGGGTCACCCACGCAGCCGGCCTGTGGGTGACACTTATGGACACAGATGACATTGGGAGAAGCTCACAACCAGGCAGGGCCAGGAGAGGGCCCGCAGGGGGACAGGTGACCCTCCATGCCCCCCTGGCACGGCCCAGGCCAACCCCAGGCCCAGAGAAATGGTATGTGGCCTTGTTGACTGTGGGGACCAGGGGCTCACGGGGGGGGGAGAGGGGAGCCCCATTGGGAGCCCAGCCTCACGCTTCTCCTCTCTCCACAGGATGTTTGATGAGCGGATTTTCACAGGTAAGTGGGGACGGCTGGGGCTGTATTGGGACTCGCTTGGGTCCCAGATTCCAGGTGCTGACAGACCAGAGTTCCTTAATGCACTTGAGGGCGCCCTTGACCAGGTGCTGGCCCTCTTCGCAGCTGTCTGCATGCCTTAGTTTAGTTGTCTCTATGTTATTGATGGAGTGGGTGAGTGAGTGTGCTGGGGCTTGAACCCACGGCCAGGGCTCGCTCTCCTTTTTCACTGATGACTAGTGCTCACTTGGGTCACGCCCATATCCTGGATTTTCTGGTTGGTTTTTTTTTTTTTTTTGGTTGGTTGGTTGTGGGCCTTGAACTCAGCCTGGGCGCTGTCCCTTAGCTCTTTTGCTCAAGGCTAGCGCTCTACCAATTTGAGCCACAGCACCACTTCTGGTTTTCTAGTGGTTAATTGGAGATAAGAGTTTCATGCACTTTCCTGCCTGGCCTGACTTTGTACCATGATCCTCAGATCTCAGCCTCCTGAGTAGCTAGGATAACAGGCGTGAGCCACCAGCGCCAAGCTACTGGTGGTTATTTTGGAGCAAGAGTCTCATAGACTCTTCTGAATTGTGATCCTCTAGATGTTAGCCTCCTGAGTATCTGGGATTACAGGTGTGAACTATCACATCTACTTGTCGATTTCTTTTTGAGACAGGGTCTTGCTAAGTAGCCCAGACTGGCCTGGCTTTCACTACCTTCATTCCTCAACCTCCTGAGTGCTGGGATTACAGGCGGGTGCTACCACTCTTGTTTCAACTTCTAAAACTTCCTGTGAAGGCTGTTGTGTCCCTGTCCCATGCACAGGTGGCTATGTGGAAGCCCAGCCGGCGCTGTGGGACCAGGCGCATCTGGGCTGTGTGGACCCAGGGCCTGGCCCACGGCAGTTGCAGTGGGACTCTGGGGGAAGAAATGGCAGGCTCTGCCTGGGGCAGAAAAGCCACACAGATTTAGGGGTGCAATATGCCTGCCCTGGGTCGGGTGTTGCGGGGCTCCGTGTCGGTACCTGGGGGTGAGCAGGTCGAGACCCTGGTGGAATTAGATGAGAACAGAGTCCCACAGTGGAGCCTGGGGGACTGGGGAACTCTGGCTTCCTGGCTGAGGGTCTTGGGGGTCTCTTTCATGTCCTCTGGGACTGGAGGACCCAGCAGGAGGGGTGCAGGGCTCCCCACTACTGTCGTTTCCTTCCGCCCTGTGTCTCCTCCACCCTGGCTTCCCTGTTCCCGTAGCTGCCAGCCCTGGGCTGTGCACAGACCCCGGAGTGGGGGTGCAGGAAGAACCCACTTCCTTAAGAAGCATCCCAGCTGGAGCCTGACATTCACGCCTGTAATCCCAGCTACTCAGGAGGCTGAGATTGGAGGACTGTAGTTTGAAGACAGCCTGGGGCAGGCAGGAAAGTCCATGAGACTCTTATCTCCAATGAACTACCAGAAAATCAGAAATGGTGCCGTGGCTCCAATGGTAGAGAGCTGGCCTTGAGCAAACACCAGGCCCTGAGTTGAAACCTTGGTGCTGACAGTAAAGAAATCATTTGCTGTCGGGTGCTGGTGGCTCACTCCTGTAATCCCAGCTACCCAGGAAGAGTGAGATCTGAGAATTGAGGTTCAAAGCCAGCCTGGGCAGGAAAGTCCGTGGAACTCTTATCTCCAATAAACCACCAGAAAACTGGAAGTGGTGTTGTGGCTCAAGTGGAAGAGTGCTCACCTTGAGCAGAAGTGCCCAAGGACAGCGCCCAGGCCCAGAGTTCAAGTCCCACGACCAACGATATAAGAGAGAGAGAGAGAGAGAGAGAGAGGGAGGGAAGGAGGGAGGGAGGGAAGAAGGAAGGGAAGAAGAAAGAATCACCTGCTGGCCTCTCCCCAGGGAACAAGTGTACCAAAGATGTCCCGAAGCTGGAGCCGCCCAGCCCACCCGAGGACGGCCCCGCGGGCTGCAGGTGAGCGTGGCGGCCTGGCCCCCCACCCCTCGGACCCCACGTGCTCTCAGCCCTCGGATTCCAGCCAGGCGGATTCCCAGCCCACCCAGCCCTCCTGGGTGCACGCACCGCGAGGGTCACCGTGGCCTCTGAGGCCCGCCTGCTGCCCCGCAGGATGCCTTGCCCACACCCCCGCCCCATCTGCACCTGTGCCAGGGAAGATGGGACCTGGCAAGGTGGCGCCCACACCCTCTACTTCCTCCTCAGGTTGGACCAAGGCAGCGGCTCCCCCGTGGACTGTGGGCCAGGTGAGGGGGGAGGGCCGGGGCGGGCAGGGGGGAGGCAAGGGACCCCACTGCAGGAGCCAGGCATGGAGGTGGGGGCTCCCTGGGCCTTGGGGCACGAGGCCTGGCCTGACCCTCCATTCCTGGTCTGTAGGAGCCAGGGAGGGTGACAGGGTCTTCCAAGGCTCTTCTGCCTGTTTGAGGCAAGAGAATGGTCTAGAATGATCCCCTCTGCCTGTGCCCAGACCTGATCAGCCCCACCTTCCTCTTCCCCCGCCTTCTCCCTCCCTTCCTCTTCCCCCCATTTCCTCCTCTCAGGAACCTCACAGGAGCTCAGCATCCTGAGGCCCATCAAAATCGAGCCAGAAGACCTGGACATCATTCAAGTCACTGTCCCAGGTGGGCGCGAGCGGCCGGGCCCGCTGGCGGGATGGCTCACACATGAGGACCCAAGTTCAAGCTCCAGGCATCGATCAACAACAAGCCAGACCCGTGGAGGGAGGGCTGGCCGGGGCGCCTGGCCTCCCCCCCGACACCCAGCACTCCAGGCCTGCGTGTGGTGGTGCCGCGCGTCTTCCTGGGCCTGAGGGTCGCAGGCCCGGGGCGGAGGGGCAGGTGGATGCTGGGGCCAGATGGAGGTCATGCCCACCGCTGGACATTTCTCCCCAGACCCTTCACCCAGCCCGGAGTTGATGGGCGACTCCCTGCCTGGCCATCTGCCCTCCGAGGACTCTGGCTGCGGGATGGACGTGCTGGCGGGTAAGGACGGGGTCCGGGGGGGGTGGAATTTGGGGCTCAGTGGTGGAGGAGGTGAGCTAGAAGGAAGCCAGGACCACCGTTTGCACAACCTACTGATGTTTCTCCCATGCACTTTTGTTTGGCTGGGGTTTTGAACTCAGGGCTTTGTGTTTATGAGACAGCGCGCTACTGTTTGAGCCACGCCTCCAGCCCCTTTCTGGTTATTTCCAAAGATGCATCCTTCCTATTAGTGCTACTCCCGTTGCCAGGATGTCAGGCAGGCACTGCCGAGCCCAGCCCGTGGCTCAGGTGCAGCTGCACGGACTGGGTTCATCCTGGGCGGGCCTGGAACCTCCATCCCCCATGCCTACCTCCTAAGTGGCTGGGATTACAGGCTTGAGCCACCATACTGGGCTAGGCTAGATGTCCTTTGAGCAGCATCCAAGCCAGCACGGGCGGAAGTGACCAAGGCCTAGTGATAGCCTCTCTGGTCCCCACCGGAGTGCTCAACTGCCCCCCGGCGGGCTTGGGGCCTGAATTTTCCACCCCTACTTGCATCAGTCATGGAAGTGGGCATCGCAGAGGTCTGTTGACCATAGTCCCCTGAGGCCGGGTCCTCCTGGAGGAAGAATCTAGAAGGGCACTGGAAAGTCGCTTGCAACAAGAACAGGATAAATACATGCCCGAACTGCTGAGAAGTGGGGCTGAGAGCCAACCCAGTTCTGGATCCTTTGTTGGGACAGGGCCTTAGTAGGGCATGGTGAAAATGAGGCCCTTGCTTGTGCTAATAATCCAGAGCCGAGTGTGGTAGCACACACCTGTAACCCCCGCACGCTGGAGGCTGAGATCTGAGGATTGTGGTTCAAAGCCGGCCCAGGCAGGAAAGTCCTTGCTTTTATTCTTTTGCTTGAACTCTGGGCCTGGACACTGTTCCTAAGCTTCTTTTGCACAAGGCTGGTACTCTACCAATTGGGCCACAGTGCTACTACCGGCTATTTCTGCAAATGTGGTACTGAGGAATTGAACCCAGGGCTTCATGCATGCTAGACAAGCACTCTACCATTAAGTCACATTCCCAGCCCATCCCTTGAGATTCTTATCTTCAGTGAACCACCAGAAAACTGCAAGTGGTGCTGTGGCTCAAAGTGGTAGAAAACCAGCCTTGAGCACAAACGCTCAGAGACAGCACCCAGGCGCTGAGTTCAAGCCCCAAAAAAGACGAAGAAGGAGGTGGGCTGTGGCTTGTGGTTTGAGAGGCGCGAGATCCAAATAGCCTGGTAGTTTTGGGCCGTAGTTAAGCAGTCAGGACTGGCCTGGAACTCATGATGCACTTGATTCAGCCCTGGTGTGCTGGGATTACAGGAATGCTCCACCATACTCAGCCTGTCTTACTCCAGTGTGCCCTCAGTGTTTAGAATGCTTGGGCTGGCTCTGGGGTGCAAACCAGCTGGTCCCAGCATGCTGTCCTTGTGTGGTGTCCCAGGAGATGGGCTGCCCAGGTGGGTGGGTGCTCTGGTTCCTGTCGGGGTGCCAGCCTGCTCTTCCCACGCCTGCCTGGAGCCTTCTGGCCAGGCCATGGTCAGCAGATGACGAGCACAGCTTCCCAGCATCCTCTCTTCTCTCGTAGACAAAGGCCCCAGTGAGGACCCACGCCCCGGAGAGCGGCCCGTGGAGGGTGAGGCCCACGCTCGACCTCCATCCCCCGCCCTGCCCACCACCCCTTCCCCTGTGCCCCCTGCTTCTCCTCCTTTCCACCACTCTCTCTCTCCAGCATCATGCTTTTGGGGTGAGAGTCCTCTGGGCTGCCTGAGTGGGGGAGGGCCTATAGATTCTTCTAGACCTGGGAGGTGGGGCCTGAGGTGTCCAGAGCTGCTTCCCGGAAGGTGAGGCTGTGGTTTGAGGCTTGCTGTTCCTACAGTTAGGTGAGTTCCACTAGGTTTTATTTCTAGTTTATTTATGTGTTGTGCCAGTCCTGGGACTTGAACTCAGGGCCTAGGTGCTGGCCCTGAGTTATATTTTTTTCTCTTTCTCAAGGCTGGTACTCTACCACTTGAGCTACAGCTCCATTCCTGGCTTTTTGCTGAGTAGTCTATTAGAGTATCTCTAATAAAGGTCATAGAAGCCAGGCACTGGTGGCTCACGCCTGTAATCCTAGCTACTCAGGAGGCTGAGATCTGAGGATCGCGGTTCAAAGCCAGCCCGGGCAGAAAATTACTTGAAAACCGTAAGTGGCGCTGTAGCTCAAGCAGTAGCACACTCGCCTTGAGCTGAAGAGCTGAGGGACAGCGCCCAGGCCCAGAGTTCAAGCCCTACGACCGACCAAAAAAAAAAAAAAGACTCCTGGACTTTCCTGCCTGGGCTGGCTTTGAACTGTAATCCTCAGCCCTCAGCCTGCAGAGTAGCTAGGATGACAGCGTGAGCCACAGTGCCCAGCCTCAGGCTGGCTTTGACGTCGCTCCTGAGGTGGTCCTTGCCGTACGGGCTGGTTGTGCACATGGGGTGCGGGCCCAGCCTCTGTGGGTCCACCCAGAGCCACCATGTGCCTCCCCACTGCGGATCCTGGCCTGGAGCCCATGGGGGCTGACCACTGCCTTTTCCTCCAGACAGCCCGGGCGACGCCATCCGGCCCCTAAGGAAGCAGGTGGAGCTGCTGTTCAACACACGCTACGGTGAGCACAGCTGACGGCCAGCCCTGGCCTCCAGCCCCGGGCCTCCCTGCCTCCATGGGCAGAGGAGGCAGATCACAGGCGCCTGGAGCCCAGGTCCCCCCCTCTGACCCCTGTGCACCCTGCGGCCCGCTTCGGGCTCCACTGGCCTATCCTCACAGATGGACAGATGGCCGCCCCATGGGCTGTCCAGGATCTGCATGGCCCCGGCCCACCAGCATGGGCGGAGGAGAGAGAAGCAGGTGGCAGGACCACCCCCCCCTTTCCCCCCGACCCCGTCTCCCAGGCCCATTGTGCAGTCAAGGAAGATGGAGGCCAGAGGTGCAGCCCCGGGGTCCCGGTGGGGTGCGGGGACCCTGAGTGGTTGTGTCCCCGCAGCCAAGGCCATCGGCACATCAGAGCCGGTGAAGGTGCCCTACTCCAAGTTCCTCATGTACCCCGACGAGCTGTTTGTGGTTGGGCTGCCCGACGGCATCTCGCTCCGCAGGCCCAACTGCTTCGGGATCGCCAAGCTGCGGAAGATTCTAGAAGCCAGCAACAGCATCCAGTTCGTCATCAAGAGGTAAGGCGCAGACCGGCACCCCCATGCGAGAGGGGGCTCACAGTGTGCCCAGAAAGGCGCCTCCACTTGTGGCCCACGGCAATACCGCCTTTTCTTTCCTTTTTTTTTTGCCATTCCTGGGACTTGAACTCAGGGCCTATGTACTGTCCCAGAGCTTCTCTTGCTCAAGGCTAGCACTCTACCACTTGAGCCACATTCCCAGCCTTCCTTCCTTTCTTGCTTGCTTTCTTTGCTTTTGTCAGTCCTGGGGTTTGAACTCAGGCCTTGGGCACTGGCCCTGACCTGTTTTGCTCAACACTGGTATACTGCTTGAGCCACGACTCCACTTCAGGCTCTTTGGTGGTTAACTGGAGATAAGAGTTTCATCAACTTTCCTGCCCGGGCTGAACTGTAATCCTCAGATCTCAGCCTTGTGAGTAGCTAGGATTGTAGATATGAGCTGCTGGTGCCCTGCTCTTTAATTTATTTTTTGGTCATGGGGCTTGAACTCAGGACCTGGGCACTGTCCCTGAACCTCTTTGTGCTCAAGGCTAGCACTGTACCACGTTAGCCACGGCATCATTTCATTGGAGATAAGAGTCTCACCGGGACTTTCCTGCCCGGGCTGGCTTTGAGCCTCGAATCTTAGACCTCAACCTCCTGAGTAGCTAGGATTACAGGCATGAGCCACTGGTGCCTGGCTTGCTTCTTTCCTTTTAAACAGCAGGGCCTTCAACAGGGTCTGACCCCAATGGGGCAAAACTAGCTCTCCCAGTGTGGTCCAGACCCAGTGCAGTGACATGGTCCCCCTTGGCGGTTAAGAAAGCAGTACCCACTGTGCCCAGTGGGTGCCTGGAGGCATTGGGCATAGCTGTGTTTGCTGGCTATCAGTCCTCTCTGGAAGGCCCACAGCATCTTTCCAGGCCCTTCAATGTCTCCTCACGCTGTCTCCTGTTTCCAAGGAGCCCTGACCTGTCACCTGGCAGGAATAAAAGTGTCTGGAGAGGCCAAGCCCAGTGGCTCACGCCTGTAATCCCAGCTACTCAAGAGGCTGAGAGCTGAGGATTGCAGTTTGAAGCCAGCCTGGGCACGAAAGTCTATGAGACTCTTATCTCCACTAAAATACCAAAAAACTCCAGATAAAGAGCTGTGGTTCAAGTGGCAGAGCACCAGCCTTGAGCAAAAAAAACTCAAGGACAATACCAAGGCCCTGAGTTCAAACCCAGATGGGCACAAAAGGAAAAAAAGTCCCTCTGGAGGAGGCAGTGGCCCCTGAGTATGGGGGCAGGGTCTCGCGAGAGTTCTGCCCACGTCTCTGAATTCAGGCTTGGGGTGAAAGGTGGTAACCAGGAGGGGTTTCTTTTTTTCTTGGTGATACTAGAATTTGGACTCAGAGCCTTGAACTTGCTAGGCAGGTGCTCTACCATTTGAGCCACACCCCTAGTCCTTGTTTGGTTTAGTTGTCTTTCATACAGTGTCTCATACTTTTTCTGGGCTTATTTGGGCCTCACTGAGTTTTTGCTGCACCTGGCCTCAAGCTGCAATCCTCCCACCTCTGCCTCCTGAGTAGTTGTGGTTACTGATCAGCAACTCCTCTTGGCCCTACCACTCCAGTAGGGTGTCCTCTGTGCCACAGTTTAGCTTCCCCATGGCCAGGAGTTGGCCACCTTTCCCAGCAGCCTCACCCACGCTGCCTCCAAATGCCCACCCTTCCTGCCCTCCCTCCCTCTCGCCCTCCTTCCCTCCCCGCCTTTCCTCCCCCCTCCCCTGCAGACCATGACTAGGGCGTGGGGAGAGGGGGCACTGTGAGTGTGAGGTGAGGGCTGGGGATACCAGATATGTGGCCGAGGCCCACGGGAAGCTAGGGAGGGGAGGCAGGGGAGGGGAGGCCGGGCCGGCCTGTGGCCCACGTGACGGCCCTGCTGTCTTCCAGGCCCGAGCTGCTGGCCGAGGGTGTCAAGGAGCCCCTGCTGGACAGTCAAGGTACCCGGGTGCGGGTGCGGGCGGGCAAGGGAGGGTGTCAGGCCTCCGCCACCAGGCCTCCCAACTCCCTCATCTGTCCCCACCGGCTCTGCCCTACCCTTCCCTGTCCTGGGGCCCAGGGCTGCTGCGTCCTCACCCCGCCTCTCTCCCTGCCCCCAGAGAGGGAGTCCGGGGACCCTCGGGTGGACACGAACCTCGGGAGACAGGCGCTCCAAGGTAATGGTGCTGTCCAGGAGCCTGGCAGGCTTTGGGGCCCAGGGCGGATTGGGTTGGTTCCCATCCTTAGCACCCCATAGTTAGGGCGTGCAGGGAGATGGCAGGGCCCCGGGGTAAGGTGTCCCCCCGGGAGGCAGCGGGCTTGCTGGCCTACGTGTCAGCCCCACCAATCTTCACGCTTTAAAATTCTTGGCGAGCTGGGCCTTGAGACTCACACCTGTAATCTGGGCTACTAAAGAGACTGAGATCTGAGGATCACAGTTCAAAGCCAGCCTGAGCAGGAAAGTCTGTGAAACTCTTCTCTCGAATGAATCACCGAAAAGCCAGAAGTGGAGGTGTGGCTCAGAGGGTAGAGCATCATCCTTGAGCAAAAAAAGCCAAGCAAGAGCTCAAAGCTTCGAGTACAAGCCCTAGGATTGGCACAGACAGACAGACAGACAGACAGACAGACAGACAGAGCGGGTGGCTGAGGAGGTGTGCGAGGGGAAAATGGGAAAGGCTTGAGGGAAGGCTGGCTGGATGGGGGAGACCCAGGGGCAGGCAAGGCGATGGGCCCTGGCTTGGAGCCCCCTGCACCCCCATGCATGGGGGGGCTGATACCAGGAGGGGACCCGGCTAAGAACAGCCATCAATGCCCCAGCATTGCACAGTAGTAATTATAATCATATAAAGATTAGGGGAGAAGTGGGGGGCAGGGAATGTATCAGTCTCAGCCAGGAAGGCCCAGAGAGGTGAGGCCCGATCGCAGGGACCAGCCCCACTCACACAGCGGGGAATACTTGGGTGGACACCCCATCTTCCTGCTGCCCTCAGCACATGGCACAGCCCCTGTGATGGACTGGGGACCCCCCCATTCCCCGAGCACTGCTCCCCCCCCCATGGTGTCTTGCCTCTGGGTTTTATTTATTTATTATTTGTTGCTTTGGTCATTTTCAAATGTCAGCCATTAACCAAATTTCCACCTCATTGCTGTTGTGGAGACAGAAAACTCCCATCCCACTCGGGGGCCCCCCAGTTAGCAAAGCATCGCCCTGTAAAAGCTGCCAAGTGCTGCTGGGCGCTGGTGGCTCGTGCCTGTCATCCCAGCTACTCAGGAGGCTGAGATCTGAGGATCCTGGTTTGAAGCCAGCCCCGGCAGGAAAGTCCGTGAGACTCTCTTCTCCCATTAACCACCAAAAAGCCACACGTGGAGCTGTGGATCAAGGGGGAAAGTGTTAGCCTTGAGTACAAAAGCTCAGGGACAATGCTCAGGCCCTGAGTTCAAGCCCCAGGACTGGCAAAAAAAAAAAAAAGTTTAAAAAAAGTTGCCAAGTGCCTTTTGGCGCATGGCGTGGCTGACCTTAGTGGTTTCCGCTTGCAGAGAATTATGACACGAGACTCTCCCGGATAGACATTGCCAACACGCTGCGGGAACAGGTGCAGGACTTGTTCAACAAGAAGTACGGTGAGTGGGGGGGAGCAGGGAGTGTGGAGGGGCAGAGAAGCAGGGCCACCCACTTCCAAGGTCCTGTCCACAAACCACGTATCCATTATGAAGTCTCAGTTATGAAGTCTCAGTTGTGAGGCCTGAACTCTGGGCCTGGGTGCTGCTGTCCCTCAGCTCTCCAGCTCAAGTCTAGCTGGAGGCTACCACTTGAGCCTCAGCGCCACTTTTGGCTTTTTCTGTTTATGTAGTGCTGAGGAATCGAACCCAGGGCCTCATGCATGCAAAGCAAGCGCTCTACCACTGAACCACCTTCCCAGCCCTGAAGATTGTTTGAGAAGTTACCCCAAGCCATTTGCTGGGGTCCCTGCGGCAAACAAAATAGACAGTGTGGGGCGTGGCAGCGCATACCTGTAGTCCTAGCACTGGGGAGGCCAAGGCAGGAGGAGTAAGATCATGAGGCCAGCCAGAAGCTGATGGTGATAAGAAGACTCAGAAACGCAGTGCTAGTGCTTGCCACAGCTGGGGCACCCATTAGGCCTCTGAGCTTCCTAGGGGCCAGAGCACAAAGGGAAATGGGTTTTTATCAAGTCTTCAGTGACTGTCAGCTGAGAGTCTGGCACCGTCATGGGACTGACAAGAGCGGAGTTTGAAACTAGAAGCTGGGGGTGGGGGTACCCTGGGGTGAGGAGGCACCAGGCCGGCTCTCCTGACCCCCGCCCTTACCCTTCAGGGGAGGCCTTGGGCATCAAATACCCTGTGCAGGTGCCTTACAAGCGCATCAAGAGCAACCCTGGCTCGGTGGTCATCGAGGGGCTGCCCCCTGGGATCCCCTTCCGCAAGCCCTGCACCTTCGGCTCCCAGAACCTGGAGCGCATCCTGGCCGTGGCCGACAAGATCAAGTTCACCGTCACCAGGTCCTGGGGGTGGGCAGTGGCCCCTGACCACTGTGGGGGGAGGCCTGGGGGGCTCCCCTCATTCCCACCAGCCCCCCCCCCCACCAGAGGAGGCCCCGGTACGGGATGGGAACCGCCCATGCCAGGCCTTGCTTGATTCCCTTCTCTCTCCCACTGCAGGCCATTCCAAGGTCTTATCCCAAAGCCTGGTAAGAGGCGAGGGCCGCTGGGTGGGGCTCTGGGCTGGGGGTTGTGGGGGAAGGGTTCTAGGGAAGGGGCCACCAATGCCCCCACACTGCTAGAGCCCCTCTGCGGGGCCAGCCAGCCAGCATATGCCCCATGCCATCTGTGGGGCACAGCCACAGGGTGCCCCCAAAGCCCCACGGGCTTACTGCCTGTGACCTTGGAGAAGGTGACTTCCTGCCTGCCAGTGTGGTCAGTCAACTTAGTGCCTGCAAGTGTGCTACAGTGAGCCTACTACCTCTGCTCTCGCCTGAGCCGCCTCCCTGTCTCTGGCCTCTATTAGCATGATTCCACAGAGCGGATCCCGCTGTGGCCTCTGCTCTAATCCTGCCAGCTGAGGGGGGAGGGGGAGGGGGGGAGTCCTTGGTGGGGCCGGGCCTCAGTGGTTCATGCCTGTCATCCCAACACTCGGGTGACTGAAACAGGAGGACCAGGAGCCCCAGGCTCCCTCAGGCAACACAGCGAGACCCCATCTTAAAAACACAGAGACAGCCGGGCGCTGGTGGCTCACACCTGTAATCCTAGCTACTCAGGAGGCTGAGATCTAAGGATCTCGGTTCAAAGCCAGCCTGGGCAGGAAAGACGGTGAGACTCTTATTTCCAATCAACTACTCAGAAAACTGGAAATGGCGCTGTGGCTTAAGCTTAGAGCGCTAGCCTTAAGCTGAAGAGCTGGATAGCACCCAGGCCCAGAGTTCAAGTCCCACAACAGACCAAAAAAAAAAAAAAAAAACAGAAAAGAGCCGGGCTGCTGAGCTCACCCCCTGAGCTGATCCAGAGAACAGAGTTTGCAGTGTGTGCGTGTGCGTGTGCGTGCAGAGAGGAGAGGAATCACACTCTGAATCTCTTGTCTGTTTGCAGTGCTGGAGATGGAGTGCAGGGCCATGTACATGCTAGACAGTGCTCCAGCACTGAGCCATGCCCCCAGCCCTGGCTTGTGCTCTCTAGGGACTGAAAGAGGGCAGTACTGAGCCTTGGGGGCAGGGGTGAGAGGGGCAGAGCTGGTCCTTGGGGACAGGGGTGAGGGGGACAGAGCTGGTCCATGAGGGTAGGGGCGAGTATTATGAACAGCGATGAGGGCGTGTGGACCAGGGGCCACCAACGGGGAAAGTGGTAGGAGGTAGGTGGATCTGGAGAGGGACGCTGTCCTCAGCTGGAGACGACGCTGGGTTTAGGGAGGAGTCTTGTGGGTCAGCCTGAATATACAAGGGTGGGCGTGGGCCGAGGCTGTAATAACACAGCCGAGTCTGGTGGTGGCCAGAAGGGCCGTGACTCACAGATGCCAGGTTTGTCTTGTGGCTAAAGGTGGCAGAACTTGCTAGTGTGGCGGTGGAGAGGCGCCAGGTGGGTTTAGTGACGGCCTAGCTGGCCATTGGCTGAGGCAGAAGCTGGGGGCAGACCCTCGGTACAGGGTTTGTGATGTGTTTGGGCTGGGGTGTCATCTAGCAGTGGTCAATGCACAAGGGGGCATTTCAAGAAGCCGCCCAGGCTATAATTTAAAGCCCCAAACCAGAGAGAGGGAGGAAGAGATCCAGGGCAGAGGCTTGGCGCGGACTCCAGTGGGGCCTCAAGTCAGGCTTGGTTGCTGATGGCTTCTTGCTGGTCTCTGTCCCAGGACAGAGGGGGAAATGGTCTTTCCAGCCCAGGTGTGGCTGTACATGCCTGCAGTCCCAGCCCTTGGGAGGAGGGGGCTGCATAGGGAGACCCTGTGGAAGGGACAAAGGAAAGGGTTCAGGATTGTAGAGTCTAGGGGGGAGTGAGACTGCCTTGGGTCATAGTGGCACTAAGGGCTGGGGTCCCGGCCGCCATTTGTGGTTTGGGGATTGGAGCTTTGATGACTGTGGTGCCTTTGAGACAGACATCTCAAAGCCACTGAGCCCTGCCTACTGCCGCTGACCACGCCCATCACACATGGGATATGCCCACAACCTATGGCCACACCCACTGCTGCTGGCCACACCCACTGCAAAGTGGGTCACACCTACAAGCGACAGGCCATGCCCCTGCCCTTTCTGTCCCCCATGTCCAGGCTCAGGTCTGAGTGACAAGAAAGACCCAGAAAGCCAGGCACCAGTGGCTCATGCCTGAAATCCTAGCTACTTAAGAGGTTGAGATAGATCTGAGATCTAGCCCAGGCAGGAAAATCTGGAAGACTCATCTCCAATAAACCACTCAGAAAACTGGAGTGGCACTGTAGCTCAAGTGGTAGAGCGCTCGCCTTGAGCTGAAGAGCTGAGGGACAGCGCCCAGGCCCAGAATTCAAGCCCCATGACCAAAAAAAAAAAAAAAGCCCAGAGTTTCTGGAAGCTTCCAAGAAGCGTTTTCAGTGTATCATCTGCAGGGAGAGTGTGGCGTGGCCCCTGTCCTCTCCTGAACGCCCCTCCCTGGACCAAGAAGCCCAGCCCACCTGAGGTTTCAGGACTTGAACTCAGGGCCTCACCTCTCCCTCAGCTTTATCTGCTCACAACTAGTGCTTTATCCCTTGAGCCATGCCTCTACTTCCAGCTTTTTGCTGATTGATTGGAGATGGAGTCCCTCTGACATTTCTCCCTGGCTGGCTTTGAACCTTAATCTTCTGGGTCACAGCCTCCTGAGTAGCTGGGATTCCAGGCGTGAGCCTCCAGCCCCCCGCCTCTGGCGCTTAGAGCCGGGGCTTTAAAATGGAGAACTTTGCTGGCAGTAATTTAATAAGCTTGTTTTTCTTCCACTCTGCTCATGTAGACTAGGCAGGACTGGACACGCTGCCTGGGGCAGGGAGATCAGGAGTGGGCAGACGGGAGTGGAGACCTGTTCTGGAGGCCATCTGGAGGGCTGTAATGGGACACCGGGGAGGGACAGGGGTTCTGAGTGGTGAGCCCTGGGGCTGGAGAGTCAGGTGGGAAGTTGAGTGGAGCAGGTGCCTGGCCTTGGACAGCAAACTTCGGCTTCTCCCTGAACATTGGAGGAAAGCACGGCCCCTGGACAGGGCTAGAGGGGCAGATCCCGGCCTGGTGATGAACCCTGCACCCACCATGCTGAGCTCCATTCCATGCTGTGTCCTGGGGCCTGGGCCCGGGGCTGGGCTGTTGGTCAGAAAGTATACATGGGTGGATGGAGGGATGATGGATGGACAGATGGCTAGATGGATGGACAGACTCATGGATATATGGACCTGTGGATGGATGGGTGGATGGCTGGACGGACAAGCCTCTGAGACCAGAAATCAGCTTTAGGAAGTGGGAAGAGTTTGGGGGACCAGGGCAGTGGGGTGGGGGGGATCAGGGCAGTGGGCGGGCAGGGCTGTGGGGGACAGGCTATGAATCCCTTTTGTCCCCATCCCACAGATGAGGATGATGCCAACAGGCTGGGGGAGAAGGTGATCCTCCGTGAGCAGGTGAAGGAGCTCTTCAATGAGAAATACGGTCAGTGCCCGCGCCCCCTCATACAGCCGGCCAGCCTGCCGTGCACCCCGGGAGCGGCCGCCATTGCCACCACGTGTGCAGCCATGAGCCCCGGGCGCCAGGGCGGCTGGCCGCGCTCTCCCTAGAGGCATTGCCCGTGACCAGGGGGTGTCCTCCCCTCTGACCCCCCGTGCCCTCCAGGCGAGGCCCTGGGCCTGAACCGGCCCGTGCTGGTCCCCTACAAGCTGATCCGAGACAGCCCAGATGCAGTGGAGGTCACGGGCCTGCCTGATGACATCCCCTTCCGGAACCCCAACACCTATGACATCCACCGGCTCGAGAAGATCCTGAAGGCGCGCGAGCACGTGCGCATGGTGGTCGTCAACCAGCTCCAGTGAGTGCCGCGGGGCTCAGCTGGCCGGCCTGGACAGGGGCCACCACCTGTAATCCCAGAGAGGGAGGGAGATGGGATCTCAGCTTTCTGGCCAGTCTGAGCTGCGCAGTGAGGCCAAGTCTCAAAAAAATGTGGAGGATGGGGCTGGGAAGGTGGCTCAGTGGTAGAGCGCTTGCCTTGCATGCATGAGGCCCTGGGTTCGATTCCTCAGCACCACAGAAGCGAAAAGGAAAAAGCCGAAAGTGGCGCTGTGGCTCAAGTGGTAGAGTGCTAGCCTTGAGCTAAAGAGCTGAGGGACAGCGCCCAGGCCCAGAGTTCAGGCCCCACGACCGGACCCCCCCAAAAAAATGTGGAGGCCAGGCACTGGTGTTCACACCTGTAAATCCCAGCTACTCAGGAGGCTGAGATCTGAGGATCATGATTCGAAGCCAGCCCAGGCAGGAAAGCCCCTGAGAGTCTTATTTCCAATTAACCACCGGAAAACTGCAAGTAGAGCTGTGGCTCGAAGTGATAAAGCGCTAGCCTTAAGTGAAAGAGCTCAGAGACAGCGCCTAGGCCCTGAGTTCAAGCTCCACAACCATCACACACAATAAAAGAGAAAGAAAGAAGGAGGAAAGATTCAGCTCAGTTTCACCCCCATGACAGCCAAGAAAATGAGAAGTAGCAACCTGGGTCCTGAATTCCTGCCAGGGCCATACCCCAGTGGCCTAACTTCCTCTCTCTAGGTCCCACCTCCTTGAGGCTCTGCCACCAATAAAAATACAGGGTGGCCAGGGCCATGCCCCAATGACTTCACTTCCTCCCACTAGGCCCCACCTCCTCAAGGCTCTGCTACCAATAGAAACAGGCTGGCCCAGGCCATCAGCACCAGCTGCCACCCCTCAGTTTTGGAGAGATGGGGCCATCTCCTGCCATGGGGACCAAGGGAGTCTGGCTTCTCACCACTGCCCCCTTTCTTTCCTTTCCAGGCCTTTTGCAGAAGTCTGCAATGACGCCAAGGTGCCAGGTGAGTTGGAGGCTGAAGAGGCCAGTCTTTTTTTTTTGTGTGTGTGTCGGTCGTGGGGCTTGAACTCTGGGCCTGGGCGCTGTCCCTCAGCTCTTCAGCTCAAGGCTAGCGCTCTACCACTTGAGCTACAGCGCCACTTCCGGTTTTCTGGTGGTTTATTGGAGATAGGAGTCTCACAGTCTCTCCTGTCCAGGCTGGCTTTGAACCGCGATCCTCAGATCTCAGCCTCCTGAGTAGCTAGGATTACAGGCGTGAGCCACCAGCGCCCGGCAGAGGCCAGTCTTTTGCCTCTTGGGAACCAGGGTCAGTTTCTCCCAGAAAAAAAAAGCAGCCAGACACCGGTGGCTCATCTCTGTAAACCTGGCTACTCAGGAGGCTGAGATCTGAGGATCACAATACAAAGCCAACCTGGGAAAAAACATCCATGAGACTCTTATTTCTCATTAACCAGCAAAAAGCTGGAAGTGGAGCTGTGTCTCTAGTGGTAGAGTGGTTCCAGCGAGCTCTTAACTCCTGGAGTCGAGCAATTCACATGCCTCAGTCTCCCTGAGCAGCTGGGACTACATGTGTGTACCACCATGCCCGGGTGTCTCCAAGATCTTTTTCTTTTTCTTTTCTTACCAGTCGTGGGGTTTGAACTCAGGGTCTAGGCTCTGTCCCTGAGCTCTTTCATTCAAGACTAGCTCTCTACCATTTTCAGCCACAGTTCCACTTCCGGTTTTCTGGTGGTTGATTGGAGATGAGTCTCACAGACATTCCTGCCCAGGGTGGCTTTGAATTGTGATCCTCTGATCTCAGCCTCCTGAGTAGCTGGGATTACAGATGTGAGCCACCAGTACTGAGCTTGGTTTGGGAAGGGGGCTGGACAGGAGGGCTGGGACCCTGGTGGGTCAGGATGCCGCAGCTTGGAGAATAGGATAGCCTCCTCCTGAGGTCCTGAGGCAGAACGGCCCCTGCATCTGCCTCAGTTTCCCTTCTTCCCAGCCAAAGACAGCAGCGTTCCCAAGCGCAAGCGAAAGCGTGTGTCAGAAGGGAACTCAGCCTCCTCGTCCTCCTCCTCCTCGTCGTCCTCCTCCTCCTCCTCTTCTAACTCGGAGTCCGTGGCATCCACCAACCAGATCTCCCTAGTGGTAATGTGGCCGTGGTGTCTATCTGCTGCCCGCCCTTCTCCCAGCCCTGCCCTCGGGTGGATATGGGTGTGGGACGTGGGGGCGACGCTGGGCTGTGAGGGAGGCCATCCAGCCTTGGGGTACAGCTCTGTCTGCCTGTCCCTCCCATAGGGCACTTACAGAGCGGGCAGGACCCAGGGTCTGCGCACCAAGTTTCAGCCTGATGACCTGAGGGTGGGTGTCCTCAGCAGGGTCAGAAAGGCAGAAAGAGCCTGAGGGTGGACATTGGTGGGCAGACAGGGCCCCCCTCACATCCAAGAGCCCCAAGGGCTCCCCAGGGGGCTGGGGCCCCCTCCCTGTCCCTTACTAGCCCACTTCCAGATGCCAGCTGTGAAAGCCTGAGTCTGAACATCGAGAATACTTAAATACATGTAAAACTTACTTGAGGACACCAGGGCTCATGCCCGCAATCCCAGCTGCTCAGGAGGTTGAGATCTGAGGATCACGGGTTGAAGACAACCCGGGCAGGAGAGACCGTGAGCCTTATCTCTAATGAAAGCAAAAGCCCAGAAGTATAGCTGTGGCTCAAGTGGTAGAATACCAGCCTTGAGCAAAAGAAACTCAGCGACAGCACCAAGGCTCTGAGTTCAAGGCCCAGGACCAGCACAAGGGGGAAAAAAACTCCTTTCCTAGACACCCCAAAAGCCCAGGCCAGGCATGCGTGTACATTCAGGGAGGCTCATTCCTCACTGTACCCTTAGAATAGTGGGGTGCAGTCCATGTGCTCTGTCTGTGTGGTCACATGACAGGCCTGTGGGTGGTCAAATGACAGGTACTTGGGACCAGCACGGGGTACATCCCCTACGGCTCCCCTCCTGACCATGGCCGTTTCCCGCCCTCCCTCCACCCCCAGCAGTGGCCGATGTACATGGTGGACTACGCCGGACTCAACGTGCAGCTCCCAGGACCCCTGAATTACTGACCTCAGCGCGGGCGACCTCAGCAGAGATTTACGGAATTGTAATTTATGTACAAAGTGTACATTCGCATATGTATCGATGCCTTTTAGTTTTTCCAATGATTTTTACACTATATTCTGCCGCCAAGGCCTTTTTAAATAAGTAAAAGAAAAAAAAAAAAAGCAAGCTGCCTGTGTACCCTGTGTACCCTTTGTGCTGACCCCTGGGCCACAGCTCAGGAACAAATCTCGCTTGGTGTGGACACAGCCGGCCTGGGGACCTCCGGGTGAGGGGTCACAGGAAGCAGACAGGTCCCACATGCGTCTCGGTCAGCTCAGTCTCAGCCTCGTTCCTGCCCGCCCAGTGGCCGAGGGGTTTGGGAGGGGGGCAGGAAGCCTGCAGTGTGAACAGCGACACTATCTGGGTTTTGTTGTGGTTCATTTTGGTTTTGTGCCAGTCCTGGGGCTTGAACTGTCCCTTAGCTCTTTTGCTCAAGGCTGGTGCTCTACCACTTGAGCCATAGCTCCGCTTCCAGCTTTTGGTTGGTAAATTGGAGATAAGAATCTCATGGACTTTCCTGCCCAGGCTGGCTTTGAACTGTGATCCTCAGATCTCAGCCTCCTGAGTACTTAGGATGACAGGCATCAGCCACTGGTACCAGGCTTGGTGTTGCTATTTTGAGACAAAGTCTTCAGTATGTTGCCTAATCCAGCCATGAGTCTTCTGCTTCAGCCTCCTGAGTATCTGGGTCAACAGGCAGAGGCCTCAGTGTCCAGCTGAACTTACCACTTTTACTTTACATGAGTTCTCACAGCCAGTTCTGTTGTAGTGCATGCCTGTAATCCCGGCTAGTGGCTCATGCCTGTAATCTTAGCTACTCAAGAAGCTGAGATTTGAGGATTACAGTTCAAAGCCAGCCCCAGCAGGAAAGTCCGTGAGACTTATCTCCAATAAACCACCAGAAAACCAGAAGTGGCACTGTGGCTCAAGTGGTAGAGCACTAGCCTTGAGCTGAAGAGCCGAGGGATAGTGCCCAGGCCCAGAGTTCAAGCCCCAAGGCCCAGAGTTCAAGATCCAAGTTGGGCACCAGTAGCTCACACCTGTAATCCTAGGAAGCTGAGATCCAGAGGACTGAGGTTCAAAGCCAGTCCTGACCGAAAAAAAGTAAAAACCATGAGACTCCATCAATAATTACCCAGCAAAAAGCAGGGCTGGAGGCATGGCTCAAAGTGGTAGGCATTTGAAGAGCTAAAGGTAGACAGGAGGTTGGCAGTGGGCCAGGGCCTGACACTCTGTGGCTGCTCATTGATCTGGCCGCTCTGGGGTGCAGGCATGTCGAACATGGGGTGTCTTGTCACAATGGGCAGGGTCCCTGGGGGCACAAAGCAGGGTGACCTCCCCTCAGGTTGGGGAAGTCTTTGATGCTGAGACCTGGGGAACACACTGGGCTGGCGTGGAATGGAGGGCCAGGCCCATGGGGTGGGGCGCTAGGCAGAGTTCTAAGGGCACAGGATTGAGGACTGGGCCCCTTGCTCACCAAGGGCTGAGCCTTGCAAGGTGAGTCCAGAGGGAAACTGAGTCACGGCGAGGAGGGCCATTTGGAGTGCAAGGTCCTGCAGGAACAGAGACAGGTAATGGATCGTGGCTGCCAGAGAGCACAGGGTGGTGCTGCCCCGCACCCCACTGGAGAGGGACAGCGGGCTGCGGCCACCCTGACGCCTCACCCAAGCCTGGGGCGGCCGGACAGGAAGCCTGCGAAGGAAGAAAAAAGGAGGGAGGGAGAGAAGAGATGCAGGTGGCTCACCTCTGTACCCCCCAGTTACTCAGGATGCTGAGTTCTAAGGACTGGGGTTCAAAGCCAGCCCAGGCAGGAATTGGACGCATGGCTTGAGTGGTAGATCGCCAAGCCTTGATGGGAAAGGCTAAGGAACAATGCCTGGGTCCTGAGTTCAAGCCCATGTAGGACCAGCATAAATAAATATAATAATACAGGGCTGGGAAGGTGGCTCAGTGGTAGAGCACTTGTCTTGCATGCCTGAGGCCCTGGGTTTGATTCCTCAGCACCACATAAGCAAAAAGGAAAAAGCTGGAAGTGGCGCTGTGGCTCAAGTGGTAGAGCGCTAGCCTTGAGCTGAAGAGCTGAGGGACAGCGCCCAGGCCCAGAGTTCAGGCCCCACGACCAGACCCCCCCAAAAATAAAATAAGTATAATAATACAGAGAAGAGAGGCATGCCCTGCTCAGCACAAAGCTACTTCATAGTCACCACAACCCCAACTTCACAGACACCCACTTTCCAGGCCCAGAGTCTGGGCTCTGGTGCTCTGGCTGTCTCAGATCGCCAGCCAGAGCTGGAAATGGCTCCTGCCCTGGAGGCCAGAGGCTATGCCTGGGTACCTGCCTGGCAGGGACAGCCCAGAGAAAGTGGGGGACAGGAGACCCCCTGTGGCCAGCTCTCTTCCCCTCTCTCCTGGCAGGGGGATCGCTGCCAGCAGGGGGCTGGGCTGGCTCTGGTGCCAGGAGAAGCCTCCAGCCTGGGAACGCGCATGCCTCCTGCACTGCGCTTTTTAAAGTGCCTTCATTCACAGCACTCGAGCCTTAATTAAACTGCATTTAACTGCCATCTGTCTCCCTTCCAAACCGCTCTGTGTTTTGCAACTCAGAAGGAGAATTCTCCCAGGATGGGTAAACACCGCCCCCCACATCCAGGGGGGGAAAGAAATCACAAACCACTTCCATAAGTAATAAGCGGGCGCCGAGAGCGCTAATTGCCTGGATGCATTCTGATGCTCGCACAATCACGCTGGATACAGAGTCTTTGTATAAAAATCTGGTATCAATGAAAGCATCAAAATTATACAAAATGCTGGAATTATCGCTGACTGAAAACAGTACTAAAATAATAATCAGCCCAGGACAAAGCTGGGGTGCTAGCCAGGGAGAGGGGGGAACCTCAGAGCGCTCACACCTGCAAGCCCTCCACACCACACCTGCTCCTCCCCCTCCCCAGCCTCTGCAGAGTGCCAGCCACCTGCTGCCCATGGATGGGACGGGGCCTCTGCACGGGAAACGGGTACACTACCACTACCACCGGATTCCCCACTCCTGATGCTTTTCAAATAGTCTTACGCTTTTGCTCAGGTTGAACTGAGTGCTCCTCCTACCTCTACTTTCCATATAGATGGGATTACAGGTGTGCCCTACCACACGGGGCAAGCCTGTGTTCTTGTGATAGGAGCTTCCCTATAATTCTTCAAGAATCTTTCTTGCCCTCTGTCTTTTTTTTTCTTCTCTCTCTCGCTCTCTCCCTTATTTGTTTTGGCAGTATTGGGGTTTGAACTCAGGGCCTCAGGCTTGCTAGTCAGATGCTCTTTCCTTGGAACCACTCCTCCAGGAAGTGCTAGTTATGGTTAAGGGAAGATCTCACCTTCTGCCTGCCTGTTTGCACTTACCCTTGACAGGATGACAGGCATGGACCCCTGTACCCAATCAATGGCTAACTTAGGGAGACCAACACTTTCAATTTTTTCCCCAACTGGCTTTGAATCACAATGCCCTGCCCACCACCTCTGGATAGCCTGGGCCGGCCAACTGCAGGCCTCAGCAGCCTCTCCTGGCTGGCTCTGTTATCTTTATTTTTATTTTTATTCATGTGCTGGTACCTGGTGCTTGACGTCAGGGCCTTGCAATTTTGTTCTGCTCTTTCTGCTCAAAGCTGGCACTCAACTTGAGCCACAGATCCACTTCTGGCTTTTTTTTTTTTTTTTTTTTGGTTGTGGAGCTTGAACTCTGGGCCTGGGCACTGTCCCTGAGCTTTTCAGCTCAAGGCTAGCATTCTACCACTTAAGCCACAGGGCTACTTCCAGCTTTTTCTGTTTATGTGATGCTGAGGAATTGAACCCAGGGCCTTGTGCATGCGAGGCAAACATTCTACCACTGAGCCACCTTCCCAGTATCCCTCACTTCTGCTTTTGACTGGTTAATTGGAAAGAAGAGTCTCATGGAGTTTCCTGCTTGGGCTGGTTTTGAACCATGATCCTCAGATCTCAGCCTCCTGAGTAACTAGGATGGTAGATATGATCCTCCAGAGCCAGGCTTTCTCCCCTCTGATATTCTGATCACTTCCAAAGGGACTGGCCATCCCCCATGCTGTGGCTCACAGGTTAGAAGACACAACACAGTGACAGGCTTCAAGGAAGGCTCTAGAAAATACGCAGATGGGTTCTTGGCCAAGCAAGATGTGTATCAGAAGTTTCCCAAGAGGGGGCAGCAATGCTTCAGGCACGTATAAAAATGATCTTGCTTGAAATGTTCATTGTTCTTGGCAATGAGATCTTTTTTAATATGCATCTGAACGTTCCTGGTCTTTCAGTGAAATCTGTGATTTAGCTGTAGCTGGGAGTGGTCATGCATGCCTGTAATCCCACCCCTGGGGAGGCTGAGGCTGCAGGGTTGTGAACTCAAGATCAGCCTGGGTTGCACAGCAAGATCTGGCCTTGAAAATACCAAGCGTGAAAGCCAGGTGCTAGTGGCTCACCTCATCCCAGCTACTCAGGAGGCTGAGTTCTGGGCAGACAAACCCAAAAGACTCTTATCCACGATGAATTAGCAAAAAGCCAGATGTGGAGCTGTGGCTCGAATGGTAGAACACCAACCAGTCTTGAGTGAAAAAGTTCAGAGACAGCAGGCAGGCTTTGAGTTGAAGCCCTAGAACGTGTGTGCACACACATAGAAGCACAGTGGCTCAAACCTATAATCCCAGCTTACTCGTGGCATGGCATTAAGCAGAGGCTTTTGATCCAAGGCCACACAGGGCAAGAAGTTAGCAAAACCCATCTTACCAAGTGGGTTTGGTGTGTATATGGAGGTATTCCTGTGGCCCCCAACTAAAGCAGCCATATCAAACGGGGGATTGTCATCCAGGTTAGCCTGGGCATAAGTAGGAGACCCTATCTGAAAACTACTCAAGCAAAAAGAGCAGAAGGCATGGCTCAAAGGGTATAGCACCTGCCTAGCAAAGACAAGATACTAAATTCAATCCTCACATAAGTAAATAAATAAGCCCAGGGAGTGGGGTGTTTTTAGACCACTTGCCTAGCAAGCTTGAATGAGGCTCCTTTG